TGTTTAGTGATATAAAATAGCATGCATCGATGAGGAACATTTAAAATTCATCTCCACTTTTGCAAAGAAGTGGGAAGTCTAGAAAACTACATTGATATTCCTTTCACCTAACATTTGTTAGAAATGAGCCATTATGATGAACATATATCACCCTAATGAATTATTTTAGAAAAGCAAGCACTATGAGATCAGAGAATAGAAAGAGTAGTATAATGACAAGTTGATACCTAAACTTAGAGGGGTCTTTCTTGCAAATGCTTCTAGCTCTTTGGGAGATGGAATTAGGATTTGTGTGAAGGAGAAGATACTCAAGCTCTCCTGTATCTCCATTACGACCGATATTTCTAATCCCATATCCTAAAGGATTTGGTGGTCCTGCCTTCTTCTTTTCGTCGATTGGCAAAGAGAAGAACTCCTTGCCCTCATTCTCCATATTTGCAATTATACCCTTTGGAACTCCATGGTTGATCAATTTAAAGAAGCCAAACTCTTCACAAGCCCTCACCATGAGATTTAACACTAAGTCTCTCCTCCATGACATATCGATAACAGGAATTGATGGATGAAGGATCTTATCATTACTGACGGGATTCAATGAAGAAACCACCATTTTGTTAAGGGAAGGAAGTAGCTTGAGCTCAAATGGAAGAAATAGCTTGAGGGTGTTTGACATTATATAGCAAGAGAGAGGGAGTGGGGATTCAAAGTGATTAATTTAAGTGTACATTGGAAAATTAAATTACAACTGGAGAGATTCCTATTCAAGTGTTGACCATGTAGCTTTCTTTGACTTGTTGTGGCTCTCTTGGATCACTCAGGTTTCTAATATGTCTCTATTTTATCCATTTGTGTTTGTTTCATGGTATTTCTTGTTCTTTTGAGGTACATTCTATCTACACTATTATTGGTTGTTTTGCGTGTCAGCCGACTAAAGTCGCCGTTTGCAAATGTTATAACTTTTATGTAAAGTCTTAACTAACACTTGATAGAATTTGGTGTACCTTGTAGTTTTCTCAGCAAAAAGGGAACCAAAGCTGAAAGCACACATATTTTTGTTTCTCAAGTCAAATTAATCTCTGTAAGAAAAGTCTTGCTGAAGCCAACCAATCCTGATTTTGTTGTATGATGACTTCCGGAATAGTGAATACTAGTTATGAGGATGACCAACCTGGCCTTAAAAATTACAATTGCTTAACAGGTCTTTTTCTCTATCCTATTATGTTTCATGCATTTGCTACAGTAATAAAACGATCAAAGAACTTTCCACTTGTTGTGGAACACAACAAAAAAATCTTTATAAATCGGGAGTGTCTACTAGATGTCACAACCTTGACACATTTATGATTGAACATCTCCGATGCTTCTAATGCTAACGTGGCACATTGGTCAATAGGTTTCAGTTAATTTTGCTTCGTATCCTTGTGCATGGTTTTTTCTACACTGATAAGGGTAGTATCATGTATTTACCTTCTTGAAACAAATTACAAATTGTCCATAAATCTTAAAACTGATCTTATAATAGAAGAGCACTGATAAAAATAGTATCATTTGAAGGGGTGATATAGAAAATTAGAGATCAATTCTGTTTAATATGTAAGAAGGCTTAATGAAGGCTTGTGAGAGTTCAGGGGGATGGGTCAAGGATAGGAGGCCATAGCTTGAGGATTCTTCTGTTGTTATTTTCAATGCTTTGATTGATATCTCATGGCTCTGGATGTTGGAGCAAAAGACTGGCAACTTCTGATCCTTTTTGTCTAAACCATTTGGTTTCTTGCTGGACTTAGTCAGGGGGTGGTACAAACAAAGCCATTAGGTTCACCCAAAAGATCTTGATCTATTAGTTCTTTACTAATACTGAATTATAAGAAAGACATTGGTGGATAAGTGTTGAAGCTTTCAACTTCATGCATGGGTTTTATCAATGTGCATGTCATCGACATGCACACGGTGTGTGTGTGCGTGCGCACGT